AATAGGCAAGTTTAATATCTTATAAAGTAAATTTCAAAGGAAGGGAAAAATATGAAATATTCAATATGTGGTGTTTGGATCCGTGTCAGGTCATTTGGAAAAACATGAAGCGTGATTCTGACCTCACTTCTAACACCAAAATAAAATCCAGATGGATAATACTTTTATAATAGCTGAATGGGAAAGCCCTTTTTAAGCATTTCACAAAGATCAAGGTCTATAGAGAAAAGGATTATAAATTTGATTGCATTTTAGTTGATAGTATTTAAGAGCTCACTTTACACCAGACACTTTTCTGAGCATTTTATTTAACCTCAGATTAAATGCAAGTAATGTACTTAATCCACACAACCAACCAGACCTATTTTATGTTCCTCCTCATAGTCTCTCAGCCTCACCTGTCTCTTGGACTCAGCCATTTGCTCTGCTTCACTTAGCATCTCAGTCAAAGGACACAAACCCTTCTGCTGCTTGAGGCTGAGCCTCAAGAGTCGCTGGCCCCTCCTACAATCTCCAGACCCAGATGAAATGCCACAGGAGTGGCTGCCCATAGCTGCCAAAAAGCCTGATAATGCAACCCAGTGTGGAAAAGTTAACTCCTAGTGGGGAAAATTTTGACTAGGAAAAGACAGGAAGCAGAAGGATAAAATCTCTCCTTCCTCCTGCCCACTGACTATGCCGAGACAGACGGCCATGCAGCCTATCTGGAGGCTTCATGAACTGACTCACCTGCTGAGCTGCAGTTATGCGTTTGCAGTCATAACAGTAGCCAGTGCAGAAAGGCTTTACTCTGCATTGCTTCCCACACGTCACCACCTCCCTTTTCTTTACACCCGTTCTTGCTGCCCTGGGATCACATCTCTCACCTAAAGCATTAGCATTTAATCCATTTCCCAGTGTCTGTACTTTAGGGAATACAGAGTAGGACATCCAGTTTTTCTGATGAGGACACTAATTCACAGACAGGTAAAGAAACTTGTCAAAGATCATTCAGCTAGTTACTCATGAAGCTCACTTTTGAACAAAAGGAAACTCATTAATCTTACACAGTGTAACTGTAAAAATAAAAATACAACAGCAAACATTATCCTTACTGTGAACTATGGAACACTATTTTTGGGATCAAGAGTGAGACAAGACTGCCCATTATTATCATCTCTCTTCAGTATTATACTAGATTATTATACTATTATACTAGAAATCCTAGCATAATGGCAAACAAAAGAAACAGAATTGATACTACTCACAGATGTTTTGATTACATATGTAGGTTATATTTTAATCTATAATTATTAGAATAAACTTTAATTATAAAATGTTACTGAGCACAAGGTCAATATACAAATCTCAATTATATTTTATATATAGCAACGAAAACACAAAACCACAAATACTGCTTTTAATTGCATTTAAAATACCCAGGAAAACATCTTACAGTAACTGTGTAAGACACTCACAAAACTATAAAACATTATCAACAGAAATCAATAAGGATTCCAAAAACGGAGATACAAATCACATTAACAGATTTTAAGACTTGATTTTATTATGTCCTTTCTCAAATCGATCTATATATTCAAAGCAATCCTAATCAAAGTCCTAGCAAGTTTTTTGTCTGGAGGAAGTGGATTTTGTGTGTGTGAAATGTGTGCCAAGGGCCAAGAATAAACAAAAATGTCCTTGAAGAGGAAGAAATGGAGAGGAAGATGTTCTAACAGATGTTAAGCTACAGGAAACTCATTACAGTATTGGTACAAAGGCTGACAAAAATGAAAAAAAAGACACAGGCCGTAAGGTCAAATGCCATTGGACCTTACTTCCCACCATAACTATAATCAGCTCTAGGTAGATTAAAGGTAAAATGAGAAGGAGAAAACTATGTAACTTTTAGAAATTAATATATCTTCATTATCTCACAACTGGACATGATTTTTTTTAAAAAAAGATGCAAAAAGAGAAAAAGATAAATTTGACTTCCTTAAAAGTTAGAACTGCAGTTAATCAAAGAGAACTGCAAAGAGGTAGAAACCAAGCAACAAATCAGGAGAAGCTATTTGCAACACATATAACTGGCAAAGGTCTTTTTTTTTTTTTTGAGACAGAGTCTTGCTCTGTCTCCAGGCACCAGGCTGGAGTGCAGTGGCATGATCTTGGCTCTCTACAACCTCCACCTCCTGGGTTCAAGCAATTCTCCTGCCTTAGCCTCCTCAGTAGCTGGGTCTACAGGCACGTGCCACCACACCCAGCTAATTTTTGTATTTTTTTAGTAGAGATGGGGTTTCACCATGTTGGCCAGGATGGTCTCCATCTCTTGACCTACTGATCCACCCACCTCGGCCTCCCAAAGTACCGGGATTACAGGCACGAGCCACTGCTCACAGTAGCAAAGGTCTTTTACTTAGAACACCATGTCTTGTTTCTAAGACAAACTGTTTTCCACATTTTACTGTCATGGACATTGGGGTGCATATTATTATCACTGGCGATTTACAACATAATAAAAAACATTTTTTTCTGAATATAATACAATGGCATCTTAGATTTGATGATAAACTGCATATAAAGAACACTGAAGAAGCCTTACGTAAAAGACAATTCTAGACCAAAAATGGACAAATGACTTGAAAAGGAACTTCATGAGAGAAAAAAACAAAATGACCAGTAATTATGTGGGAAAAAATAGCCTCGTTAAGAATCAGATAAATGCAAATTAAAGCTATAATGATATATGTAGGCAAAAATTTTTAAGTCTGGCAATACCAAGTGTTAGCAAACATTTAAAGAAATAGAACCCTCTCATCCACCATGGATCAGAAAGTAAACTGGTAAACTACTTTGGAGTACAATTCGCATTACCTAGTAAAGATTAACATGTCCAAACTCTATGATTCAATAACCCCTCTCCTAGGTAGACATCATAGGAAAACCTTAGTATTCTTAGACCAGATAACGTGTGTGTGTACTTAAAATAGCATCATTAAAAATATCCAAAAAGTAAAAATGACACAAATGTTCATCAACAATCCACTGGCTACACACATTGATTTCTATCTCTGCAATGGAATATTATACATCAATGAAAATGAATGAACCACTACTATATGAAGCAAAATTAATGTAGCTCATTCTCAATGCTGAATGAAAGAAAAAAGTTATAAAAATGCATTAGAATGATTTCTTTCATATAAAGTTCAAAACAGTAAAAACTAAACAAAAGATTATTTAAGAATACATAGATATGTGGTGCAAGAATGAAGAAAAGCAAGACAACAGTTGCCACAAAAGTCAAGGTCATGGTTTCCTATGGTATAGGAGTAAGTACTTGTGACTACAAAGGGACACAGCAACTTTCAAGGTGCAGGCAATTTTCTGTTTCATATCCTGACATTGAACCAATGTTCATTTAATTTTAATTCATATGCATCCATTTATATAATCTTCTGTAGGTATACAATACCACAACTTTTTAAAATGAAAAGAGTTGCAGAGCAATATGATCTCATTTAATTTTCATGTTTATATGTTAAGTACATATAGGTAGAAAAACTCTCAACTGTTTTCCTTATGGGATATTACCTCTGGGGTTTGGGGTTTTTGAGTCTGTAACAGATTTGTAGTCTGTATTATGTGAATTTTTACAATAAGCGCATATGACTTTGTAATCAATTAGAAAAAGTAAGACATTTAATCATCTAGGAAAATCATGCCAGGTAAAACACACCAGGTATTAAGACTGGCCAACTTCACCCAAATAATTTAAATTTAACATTTCTATAAAATTTTACATTCTCTACCCTATTTCCTGGGTTGTTAAGTATCAGATATCAAAGATAATTAAAGCCTTTAAGGAAAACCGATTCTACAAGCACAGCCAAAATTGCAAGGTGTTGACAGCAACTCTAACTACAGTCACAGTTCACCTTTACCTCTTATAAATAATGCTCAACTTCTTTAGACAACATCCCAGAGTCTCTTGCAAATATCACAATAGTCAAAAACAGTCCAAAATGTACACAACTGTCTTGGCAGTGGTCATGAGGTAGCGGCGCAGTGGCAGGGCGTGATGAGTGTCAAATTTGTAACATACATTAAACCTCACACAAAATTCCAAGTTTAAAAGAAAAAAGAATCCCACTATCTCATCTCTAACTACTTCACGTACTAACAGGGTCTTTTTAGATCTCAAAAATGTTTACCAATGGAGTTTATATTAATAATATCTCATTTCTATTTCACAATTTCATTCTCAGAAGCTTTTTAATGATAATTTTCCTATACCAAACATTTCTATTTAAAATATCAAAACTCGATTCTTCAGCTCCCTGAATGCTAACTACCCCAAATAATAGAGGGCAGCAACCACAGGCAACTGCAGCTTTCATCTGTACTGTTCTTTGACTTTTGACATTTGGCTCTGAACTTGGCCCCTTTCCCAGGGATTAAAGCAGTAGTGGCATGCTGACAAATGTCTAACAACCAGCCTTCTGCAATGGGGGGATTGATAGGTAGTGCTTGCCAATTTCCATGGTATAAACACTGGATGATGGACAATTTCGAGCTATCTTCCCAACACAGAATTGGGAAGAGATGCACAGTAGCATACCACTAGGTAGGATTTCTACCATTAAGTTTCAATAGACATGACTCAAGAGCATAAATAATAGTAAAATGTAGTAAAATCATTAGGAATTAATCAGTTTTAAGTATTTGTTACCTTTGCTTTTAATATATTTTTAAATTATAGGTTTATAAAATTCAATTTTTAATAATGAGTACATCAAATAACCAGCTTGCAAAATTCCTGAAAATTTAACAATCAGCTCTTATGAGCTGGCACACCAATGGCTTTGACCTGCCAAACTTCCTCCGGCTTCCAATTCAGACTTAACTTCCTTACAGACCTCTCTTGGCTCTCTGCAGCTGGGAGATATATATATTCCACTGTGGCCTTCCTTGGCAGCTGCCACACCCCTGCACAAACAGGTGCCTGCTTGACTCACCTTTTGCCCAGGAAGGATCATTCCCTGAAGATTTAATGCTATTCACAGCTTAGGTCTTCATCCTTGAGTTAGAAAAAAAGAAAAAAAAAAGCTTATTAAGTTAAATTTAAAATTGTTATTTTGAAGTTATCAAAGTTACATTGCTTAATAAAACAGAAAGACATCAATCCTATTCTTTGCCCCACTATTTATAAACTATAGGACATCATTCACCATCTGAGTTTCAGTGTCCTCATCAGTAAAATGGGAATAACTTTATAGGCGGCTGTGAGGATTAAATAAATAATGCCTATAAAACAGCACAGTGTTTGGCATATGATCGTATTTAACAAATGGCAGCCATTATTACCTGTTGTTAAATGCCACTTTTATGGGTTACATATGTGATGCCACTTTGGAAAGTTAAGTATCAACTCCTGACTGAGCAGCCTGTTATCAAAGCAAAATGCCTTCCAGATATCACATTTCTATATTCACAGTCAAATCTTAACATCAGGAATATGTTCTCTGGCCACCTAAACAGTCACTCTACTTTTTTATGCTAATGACCTGGAGAGGGACATCCATTATCAATCTAGTTTTCCAGGCATGGAAACACCGAGTTAACAAAGTAGACATCATTTTCACCTTAGGAACTTAGAACCTAGTTGGGGACAGGAACCTAGAACATAATCATACAAATAACCTAGTGGGGGACAGGGACCTAAAACAATCATACAAACATTAAGTTCACATTGTTCTAAGTGCCAAGAAGAGCAAGGAAAAGATGTTATAAGAAATTATTTCAGGCAGATCTTATCTAGTCTAGGGTGTTAGGGAGTTTTCTGTTAATGAGACATTTAAGCTAAGATCTAAAAGATCTAAATGATGAGGAGTTAACCAGACACAGAGTATGGGGAAATGCAATCCACGGTAAGGCATCAGCCTTTGTTTAGGCCTTGAAGTGGGAGAGAGCACGATGTGGTCAACACACCAAGAAAAGGAGCTACATAGTGCAATAAGCAGAAGAGGAAAACCACGTTTTTTATTAATGTAAACTCAACTTGTTATTCCCCCTTATTGTTATTCCCCCTTACTCTCCCGTATCGCATCGCTCTAGCTCTAAGAGGTGGATCCTATACCTAGAGGACCCCTTGTGATTCACTGGATTGTCTACATTTACAGGTAGATGTCAGGATCAAGTTTAATTAATTGTTCAGCACATTAAAGGCTGACCCAGAGGAAGAAGCTGAGAAGCTGAGCCCCAGCAAGGCTGCATACTGCAATGGGGAAGGCAGATGCAGAAAACAGGAAATAATTGCTGAAGATCAGAGGCTATTGAAGGTATTTAACTCCTTGTCACTCTACCTCCAGCTAGGTCTCCAGCAGCAGCTGCACCTCCACTGTGATTTCAGATTCTACCAGCCCCCTCCACCTTGATCCCAGCTCTCATCAGGAAACCCTGGCCAGAGTGCTAGCTACCACTCAGTGGCACTGAAGTATCATCCCCTCCCTGTGTTTCTTCAACCCTAAGGAAAGTTGTGTCATCCTGTTACTGCTAATCACTTGTTTCCTCAACTTTTCCTATTTCCTTTCTGTTCAAAAAGTGCTTCAGGAACCAGCAGCATTGGCTTTATCTAGGAGCATCTTCAAAATGCGGAATCTCAGGGCTTACCCCAAATCTACTGAATTTGATTTTTTTTTTTTTTTTTTTTTTTTTTTTTAGACAGAGTCTCGCTCTGTTACCCAGGCTGGAGTGCAGTGGCACAATCCTGGCTCACTGCAACCTCTGCCTCCTGGACTAAAGCAATTCACCTGCCTTGGTATTCTGAGAAGCTGGATTACAGGTGTGCACCACCAAGCCTGGCTAATTTTTGTACTTTTAGTAGAGACGGGGTTTCGCCATGTTGGCCATGCTGGTCTTGAACTCCTGATCTCAGGTGATCCACCCTCCTCAGCCTCCCGAAGTGCTGGGATTACAGGCATGAGCTACCACGCCCAGCCTGAATCTGCATTTGAAAAAAATCCCAGGTTACAATAAAATCTGAGTAGCAATGCCCTGTTTGTGTCTTCAGGAAGACCATCCCTAAGTAACAAATAGACTATATTAAATTCCCTCGGATTGAAATACCTAGATGATTTCTGTCTTCTGACAAAATCCTGATGGCTTTTATGTTCACACTGTTCACTTATTTTCAATGCTTACCATCTGTTCTATTGTGCTATAATTTTAACATTCTTGAATTAATTTGGATTCTACTGCTGAACCCAGTGATCTAGATTCCAGATTAGTAGTGTTCATAGAACTCTACCATTTCTACCAATGCTTTTCCTTGAACAGCTATTCATTTCCAGATCTCTCAGCTGGTTTCTCTGACCAGCTCTTGGTTGACATTTTTTCCTTCAAAACTATGCAGAATTGTTCCTTTTTTCTTAAGTTATTCAATGTTGCCAATGAAAAGTCTGATTTTTGTTCCTTCATAGAGAATGTGTTGCTGTTGGTTTGGGTTGTGTTTTATGATTTTTTTGCATGAATTTTTACAGAATTTTTTTTGTCTTCCTTAAAATTTTAGGATCGTTAGCTCTTGTTGTTGCATTGATCCTTTTACCACTATATCTTTGTTGCTTTAAAATCTATTTTATCCGATACAAGAATTGTAACTCCTGCTTTTTATTTATTTATTATTTATTTTGCTCTCCATTTGGTTGGTAAATCTTTCTCCATCCCTTTGTTTTGAGTCTTGTGTATCCTTGCATGTGAAACAGGTCTGGATGTAACATGCCGTTGGGTTTTGGCTGTGTCTTTTGATTGGGAATTCAGTCAATTTAAATTTAGGGTTACTGCCATTTGATGTTGACTGGCTGTTTTATCCATTTGTTGGTGTAAATTCTTCTTTATGTTGATGCTCTTTACTTTTGGTGTATTTTTAGAAAGGCTAATACTGGTTGTTTCTTTCTGTGTGTAATGCTTCTTTCAGAAGCTCTTGTAAAGCAGGCCTGGTGGTAATAAAATCTCTGAGTTCTTGCTTGTTCATAAAGGATTTTATTTTTCCTTCAGTTGTGAAGCGTAGTTTGGATGGATATGAAATTCTGGGCTGAAGGTTCTGTTCTTTGAGGATGTTGAATATTGGCCTCCACTCTCTTCTGGCCTGTAGAGTTTCTGCCGAGAGATCTGCTGTAAGTCTGATAGGCTTGCCTTTGTGGGTAATCTGACCTTTCTCTCTGGCTGCCCTTAATATCCTCTCCTTCATTTCAACCCTGGTGAATCTAACGATTATGTGCCTTGGGGTTGCTCTTCTTGAGGAATATCTTTGTGGTGTTCTCTGTATTACCTGGGGTTGAATGTTGACCTGCTTTGCTAGTTTAGGAAAATTTTCCTGAATAATATCCTGAAGGGTATTTTCCAGCTTGGATTCATTCTCTCCGGCGCATTCAGGTACACCTATCAAACGTATATTTGGTCTTTTCACATAGTCCCACATTTCTTGGAGACTTTGCTCATTCCTTTTTATCCTTTTTTCTCTAATCTTTTCTTCACGTTTTATTTCATTAAGTTGGACTTTGACCTCTGATATCCCTTCTTCTGCTTGAACAATTCGAGTGTTTAAACCTGTGCATACTTCTCGGAGTTCCCGTATTGTATTCTTCAGTTCCATTAATTCACTCATACTCCTCTCTAAGTTGTCTATTCTCAATAGGATTTCATCAAACCTTTTTTCAAAGTTCCTAGTTTCTTTACGTTGGGCTACAACATGTTCTTTTAACTCACCGAAGTTTGTTATTATCCATTCCTTGAAGAGTGATTCTGTCATCAGGAGGTGCTCGTTCTCCATCAAGCCTTGTTCCATTGTTGATGTGGAACTGCGATCATCTTTAGAGAGAGAGGCGTTCTGACTTTGAGTATTCTCGGCTTTTTTACGCTGGTTTCTTCCCGTCATTTTAAATTTATCCTCCTGTCGTCTTTGAAATTACCAACTTTCAGATTAGGTCTCTTGAGTGGACGTCCAGGTTGTTAGTTCCCAGGGCCAGAGCAGCGGCGTTAAAACTGATGGTGCTTTTCTGCCCAGGTTTAAAAATGTCATCAGCAATATATGAAAGTCACCTGGAAAATACCAAACCATATTAATCTTCAAATGCTGGCCTCTTCTTCTACTAAAGAACAGTTTTTAAAATTAAAACTTAGATATTTATTTTTGTTTTGTTCCAATCTTTTCTTCAGGAAATTTCATTTTATAAAATCATGTCCAAAGTTGACATGAATATTAGACTTGCTTTTGAAGTTGACTTTCAAACTCCTTTTTCATCTCATACCATTTCTATTTCAGGCTTACCTGTCCCTTTTCAGAGATACCAAGGCTTTTTACATTTTGCTGAAAATAACAAGCAAATGTTTTCCAAAACATTTTCTGACTCCTGTAGCAAATAATTTTTAGAGTTATGATTTCCCTTTGACCCTAGAGAATAATTTTCCATTCCCTTCATGCTATAGTAACTTTTATAGAGCACTTTTTAAAAACCTGTTGATTAATGCTTGTACAAGGACCACCTAATGCCAACAGATAGAGGCCATGGCATCTCCTTGGTTTCTCTGTCCCTTTGGGTGTCAATGTATTCTTTTATAAGATTTAGACTTAAAGTAGGAGTGGATATTCATGGCCCCTAATCCTAGGCTGGGTAGGCAGTTATCCTTCTTGACTAATCAGGACTGAGGTGAACTCTCCTCTTACTGAGTCTGGGGTTAGATGCGTTTTTTGGTTCTTTTACTATATAAAGCATAAAGACCCCATCCTTTTTCTCCTGCCTCTTCCTTCATCGCTACCCCATCTTTACCTACTGCACTGTTCCCAGAACTCTACCATTTTCTACCAAAATGCTTTTCCTTGAATAGCTACTTTCCAGATGCAATGTCCTATGAATTGTAGCTTCTGATTATGTGTGGGCAAAAAATTATGAAGATGAGAGGTGAGGACTTCTATCAATCTCAAAAATATCCAAATGCATAAGAGATGTTGCTGCATAAGGTTTGTCAATACTTTTGATTAATTTACATTCCTGCTTTCCAAAAGGGGGTTCCATGCTTTCT